GCGTGAAAATATATTTTCACTTTCCCACGCGTCTAGCATGGCGACTGACCAAACACGGGGGAGAATGTATCAATTTCCTTACAACCCATTTCAATACAGCTGGACTTCAGGTTCTCGCGGCGCAAAATATGAAGATTGCGTGCCTCTGGAGTGTCACAACCTGATATCTGTTGGACAGGCAATAAAGTTTCGGAAGAACTTGCGGAAAAGTACGATGAAGATAGAAGTATCAGGTTCCTTCGAAACGCTGGTACCGGCCTAAAAAAGTACATATGAGACCACACCAAATAAAATCTTCAATTTAATGTTATGCCTAATTAAACACTAAGACATAAAGATGCATGGGGGTGTGGAGAAATACTTCCACGCTTTCTTAACCTCGGCCCTAGATGGAAACCAGTGAGGTCAGCTTTATACTCCGGTCCTTCACCCCCACTGAGTCCCCGGTAGGCATAGGACAGGAGGCTGGATGAGCGGTCAAAATATTTCGGGGAAGAGAACAATCGGTTTCCTTTGCCGCAACTCAAATCCCAATTCCTCGCCCGCCCAGTCCACTTCTAGTCATTATACTGGTCAATCCAACTCTTGGTGAAGTAAAGTATGTAAAGGTATCCCTGTAACAGACCGTGAAGGCCCATAGGGTTGTGAGATGTCGAGGCTCCCACATTTTATAGACAATCGCCTCAGTCAGCCTCACACGCCGGTCGTCCTTTAACCCCCCTCCCAAGAAAGTTCCTGGTACTCATTCTGTTAGAGGCTGAGTCAACTCCAAGGCTATATAGCGCGGCTGGAAGGATTAGGTAAATTGAAAGAAAAAAAAATCCAATGACCTCATTGGGGCTCAAACCCGTGACCTTCCTGCTTGTAGCATAGTGCCCCCTTGGTAGCTTACATACAATATATTTAACACCTTCCTTATGCGCAGTCGCTACAGATACTCAGAACAGAATGCTGAAAGATAAATAATAAAATTTCACTGATACACATTCCGGGATACAATGAGTAGAGTTTCTAATTGACATATCTCGTTCTTGGAACTGAATGGCTTAAGCATACACCATATGAACTCTCAGTAAACCAAGAAGTTCTCTAAACAAATTACTTCAGAGTGAATACAAAACAGACATAAGATGGATAATTTGACGCTCTCTCCACAGTGGCTTTTAAAGTGCGCTATTTTCCGGGATGTGATACCAGGTAGTGTGGTAGAAGTTTATATACGTTTCGATGAGCGTATTTTATCCATCTTCAGGGTGGAAGAGTAAGCCAAACAACCAGTTAACTAGATATAAGGTCGCTGCCCGTGGAGACCCATAGGGTTGTGAGATGTTGAGGTTCCCACATTTTCTAGACAATCGGCTCATAGATGGCGGTAAGGCTGACAGCGTTACGCGCCGCCTGCTCTTTACCCCCAAGAATATTCCTGGTACTCATTTCTGTTAGAGGCTGAGTCGACCCCAGGGCCATAGTTCAGCTGGAAGGGTTAGGTAAATTGAAAAAATCCACCTCATGGGGATTTGATCCCGCGACCTTCCGGCTTGCAGCATAGTGCCTCAACCAACTACGCTACCGCGTGCCCCCAGATAACGCCATTACCAGTCATTAAACTGGAATACTAGTTGCCCCCTTCTCTAACTAACATCGACTCGTCCGGGGGGAGGGAGATGTGATGGGGGCTAGATGCTGGGTCAGAGTCCAGACCCATTACAGCAACATCCGAGTACAAAGTATTAGGCCTACTTGTTATTCCACTCTCCCGGTTCTAGACCCATTCACGGAAAAGAGACCGACACATGTACAGATAATAAATCTGGGCTTTGTATAGCTTCTCTGCGAGATCTGAGGGTCTCATGGAGATGACTATCCTCTGGGGTTATGACACCGTGTAGTCTGGCAAGTATACAGAAATTTCGAAAGAATGTATGCCTATATCTTCAGGGTAGAAGAGAAAGCACGCAAGCGGCACCCGGCAGTGTTACTTTGCTGTTTGTTTGCTCGCTTGACTCTTCTTGAGGATATTTCACAACACAGTCATTAGCTGAACAATTAGGCTCGAACGGCAGAATTATGAAATGGGAAATATCTGGAAGCGAACACTCGTAGCCTCTATCGGAGTTCTGTCCTGACATCTCCATTGGGGGACTGAGGAAAGCTAAGATAAATATCAGAATGGTCGGAATTCTGGGCAGATATTATAACCGACCACTTACATGGTGGCGTAGTTAGTTAGTTATTGGAGAGGATGGGTTTCCCCATGCACTTAGACCTGTATTGGTCCATTGTGCTTCCCTCTATGATTTCTACCCGTCTCTATATCCTACCGGTACTGGTGCTTACCATCAGTCCCGCCCAGCCAGCGATACCGGCTCTGCTAGCTGAGAGGTATCTATAATGCTTCCCTCATCTACCAGAGGTATTAGAGACTGCTGTTGGGCGGGAAACGTCCGTAATTTGGCTCAGTGACCTCCTTTGGAGATATGAGGTTCTTTTACGTGCCGTAAAGCTACGACACGGGACCCACGGCTTAAAGTCCCTCCCGGAGGACTTGCTCCCTGAATTTTTCCGCCCTTAAAAATTCGAAGACCTCCGCCGGGTATTTGAACCCGCGTACTACGAGTCATGAGGTGGGACCGTTAACTCTAGACTACGGAGGCCGCTTGGTGGCGTAGTTAATTGAGGCACTATGCTACAAGTCGGAAGGTCTCTGGATTTTATTTTTCAATTTACCTAATCCTTCCAGCCGTAATGACCCTGAGGTCAAGTCAGTCTAACAAAAATGAGTACCAGGAATCGTCCTGGGGGGTAAAGTGCGACCGGCGCGTAAGGCTGACAACCTTACTGCCATTTGTGTGCCGATTGTCTAGAGAAAATATGGAAGCCTCGACGTCTCCCAAACTTAGAGGCTTCCACGGCCTGTTACATGGACAACTTTACCTTTTACTTCCCGAATCCGTCACTGAAGAAAGGGACAGTACATACCATCGAAACACGAAATTCGAAGCAAGTACCTCCAAAATATGAGTCGATAGTTACCGCCACGCCTAACAATTCGGTTTAGGCCCTGAAGATGGAGGCAGTACGTTCCAACGACACGAACTTCTACGGGTCTACATGCCACGATATCCCAGGAAACACTGCCCTTCACAGCTTTTCTGTTCTGATGGTCATTACACACAACAGCTAAAGCAGTTCCCATATCGGACTAAGCGCAGTCCTGCAGTCTTACGCGCCGGCCGCCTTTTTTTTTTCCTTGGCACTACAACCCCAGTGGGCCTAGGCCTACCTCCATGAACTTCTCCGTTCACTTCGGTTTTTCTAGATCTTACACATTCGGTAGGACTCCTTGGGCGGGGGATCGGCTCGTCGCAAGGCCTCTACCTGTACACAAACACAGAAAAACGCACACACACACAAAATAAACATCCATGCCCTGAGTGGGATTCGAACCCACGATCCCGGTTTCCAAGCGAGCGAAGACAGTCCATGCCTTAGACCGCTCGGCTACCGCGGCCGCCCTTCACCCCGCAAGAATATTCCTGTTATTTATTTCTGTTAGAGGCTGAGTCGACGTCAGGGGCATAGTGTGGCTGGAGGAATTACGTAAATTGAAAAAAATCCACCTCCTTTGGGAATCGATCCCGCGACCTTCCGGCGTGTAGCATACTGCCTCAACCAATTACGCTACCACGCCATAGTGCAAGCGGTTAGTCGCTGGCTTCCCACCGCGGCGGCTCGGGTATGGTCAAGTGGGATCTGTGGTGGACAAAGTGACGCTGGGGAAAGTTTTCTCGGAGTACTTCGGTTTCCCCTGCCAATCTTCATTCCACCAATTGCTCCACAATCACCCTCACCTATCATCTGGGGCTGGTACAATAGGCCAGAAGTGGCTGCAGTACAAGGGACTTAGTCCCACCCCACTAGCAATAAATAATAATAATAAAAAAAATCCCAGAGGAAGGAGCTCCTGTTACTCAAATGAGACTGGGTGGACCACAGATCCGCGGTGACCTTGCCAGAAACTGAACCTGGTCGCCAGTCACTATTCTGAATTAGCTACCTGGGGTCTGTTATCAAGTATTCAAAACTCACAGTTCAAGGGCACACTACCACGCAGGATTCAGATGCATTACATAAAGACCGAGGAGTATCCATGGGTCTGTGATTCCAGAAATATATTTAGTTTGTGTCCCTTGACGCAGCTAAAAGCGTTTGCCGCCCTCCCCAACCTATAAACATAACTCAAAACATGATTTAATAATTTCAACAAATAACTACTAACGAGTCTTGAGGATACCTATCGTGTACTATTTATTCTGCTCTACGTTTCTACAACTGCATAATGAGGAGCTTCATAACTTGGTACTCTTCTCCAAGTATAATTAGAATAATCAAGTCAAGGATGAAATGGGCGGGGCATGTAGCAAGAATGGGGGAGAACCGAAATGCATATAGGATATTAGTGGGAAAGTCAGAAGGAAAGAGACCACTGGGAAGAGCAAGGGGTACGTAGGTGAACAATATTAAACTGGATGTTAGAGAGACAGGATGGGATGGTATGGATTGGACTGATCTGGCTCAGGATAGGGACCAGTGGAGGGCTCTTGTGTACACAGTACAGAACCTTCGGGTTCCATAAAAAGCTGGGAAATTCTTGAGTGGCTGCAGAATTGACCGCTCCTCAAGAAGGGCTCAGCTCCATGAGTGAGTGAGTGGGTAAGTAAGTACGTAATATTTTTCTAATTTAATGTGGACCGCCGGAACTAAAGGTAATTCAGCGTTCTTATTATCGGCGGCATCACTAAAAAGCCTCCGCGGTCCCATGCGGGGCCGTGGTCCCCGCTTTGAGAAACGCTAGTCTATGCGGTAGCTTGGAATTGAGGTCGCATGACAGCAATTGACAGGATGGTTAACGTCTCTGTGAATATTGTTAGTGACGATACATCTGGCGATACTGATGCGAAACGTGGAGAGGGGAAAATGGGTGCTGACAACTTGCTTACCTGCGCGCTACGGAGGCAGTCGAAGGCTGGGGTGGCTCTTGCTGCAGTGTAGCATCCGCGTCACTACAATCGTGCAGCCAACCATTCTGCGCACAAAGAACAAAGTTACTGTTACCTACAGCCTGAACGTAGCAATCCAATGACTCCAACATATGATTAACAGATTAACAGAGAATGATCAACTGCTAAATTATTATTGGTTCCTTCCATACCGAATACTTTTTAGCAAGAATATCTTCAATTCTGTATCTCAGCATCCTGCTGCAAATCTGTAAATAAACTTCTATGTATCCACAGTCCGTCAATAATGCAACAATTGTTTATTCACCATTTAACACAACATGTTTCCGAAATATACGGCCATCTTTAGGTGTCTTAATGCACTTCAGAACACTGTAACAGTTGGACGCATTAAAAACACCTGAAGATGGCCATATATGCCCGAAATGTGTTGTGTTAAATGGTGAATAAACAAATGTTGCGTTACTGACGGACTGTGAATACACAGACGTCTGGTTAAAGAATATCTTCTTTTCATGTTGGGAAATCAAAAATGATTTTCATTGATGAAACTCCATAATATTAGGAAAAACAAGTGAATAGCCCGATTACATCAATGGTAGAATGCAAATATTAATACAGAAATCTTATTTGTTATAGAATGATTTCAAAGAACTCCATTCCTTATTGGAATAAACAGAGAACTGGTCAGAAGACACAGTGAAGTTTAGAGGTTTGTTATAATAAAGGGAGGCATAAGACTTGTATATTTAGGCTATAACATCGTCGTTATTCAGAAACAACTAACGGGAATTGTAACACTAATTAAAGAAAAGTCAAGAAAGAGCACATCTGTTACTCATTCTACACTCTGCATTCATAAAGCAACTTTATGCTCAGGAAATAATATCGGTCATATCACTGAAGAAGTTCTTAACGGTCTTGACGGGCAAATTAAAAATAAGTGTATACCCAATTGTATATGGGCCCTCCCCGTAGAGTTTGAACTCATGTCCAATAGATTCCTATTTATTTTCTAGTATGGTTTACAGCCTAGACGATTAAGACATTGGGTAAACATATGCACCAGAAATGATCGTATTATTTTGTGAGTCAATACGCTTGAAATTAAGGAGGCATATACGGATAAAGTTTACTCAAATACGACGCAATAAAAAAACGATAAACTGAAAATATTAACACAGGAATCCAATTTATTATAGGCTGATTCCAGAGAAAGCCATTCCTTACTAGAAACAAAAAGCTAACCGCTCATTCGTGACCTACTGCACACCTTATGTTTATGCAGCGCTCAACAATTCGTTTCTATGGTAAACAGAAACTGCATAATTCAGAGCTGACTGTTACAAAACATATTTAGAAATTCAGGAGATGTATTCCTTTCGATTGACATTGCTAACACCAAATTAAGAGCAAATAGGCTGTTGTTCCTAAGCGAGAAAACTCGTCCGTAGCTTTAAAGGCGTTAGTAACATTACGTTTTCATTGTGTCCAAAAGTACGGTAATTTAATATTCTAACTTCTATAAATGGCCTTGCCATGTTTCAGAACTTAAAATATTATAACTAGACACAAAACTAAAAAACACAATTATGTTCATGCGTGTGGTACATGCATACCAAGAACTTAATTTGGGGGGGATATAGAAAGTCAATAAACTACCGATTACTAGACACATTAATGCCCCTACTGACATAACCGCTCGCCCCTTTATCGCCAAATCGTGTATGGGTATATGAAGGCGTATAAATTAATACACTTCGAGTTGTGTACCAATTCTCTTGTAGGAAGATCCGGTTTTGAAAACCTTTATGAAGTACGATTTGGGCTTCATATAAAGTAGGAGTTATACTGAATTTATACAATTAATCTGACATCTAGTGCACGAGCATATCCCATAAACCAGACTCCTCAGTACACATATTTATTGTTTGCATCCTGTTGTGTGTCATGATGTGTTTTCTTTTTGGCCATCTACAAAACAAATTTATCAAAAATGAAACCAATCTAATATCATTATGTTATATTGGTTTTATTTAATGACTGTTACTTGTTTCGATCCATATTTGGATCATCATCAGGCAGTATTCTTAAATACTGTATTATGCTAATATCGGTCCATATTAGTACTAACTGTTAAAATTGTTATGATACAAACAATTTTGGTAAATTTGTTGTATGTTTTTGTCGCGTTGTTACGATTTTACTTTCCGTGTTCCTTGTCGTGTATTTACAGATGATATCTTCCGGGATTCGTTATGTTTTTATATGAGTCGTGCTTGGGTACGATGTTATTACTAGTTTTATTATATATGTTTCACCTTCGTTTTCTTACGTGTTGTCGTAATTCAGTTGTTTTCCCTTTGCAGTGTGTTCTATACTTCTTTATGTGAGGATGTTAATTTTTAAGTTGTTCCTGCTCGTGGTTCAGTGATAAATTTCTCAGTACACAATTCATTAGTTTTTGTTATTACACATCACACAAAACCCCAGTAATAAAAAAGAAAACAAACAGTTAGCGACATGTAACTGGGATGCAAGACGGTAAACTGCAAAAACTGGTATACTTACTATAAAACCACAAGGATAGAAACAAGCGGAAAGACCCTGAAGTGGAAGGTAAGGTAATTTTTTTTAATTTATGAACACTGGAAAAGGGCTTGTAGCACAAAATTCTTCAGCTGAAAGATGAAAAATAATAAAGGAAGAACGTCAAGAAGGATATATAAAGTAACGGTCCTGTGAAATACATAACATATATTCTTATAACTTCAAAATTCTAACTTACCGCGAACTTAAGTCCATTTAGGAAATAATGTAAACTAATTTTGAACGTGTGTCATTTCCTTTTCACTTCACGCAACAATGTGACACGCAGAAACAGCAGAAAAATCAAGGCCAATAAAGTAAAAAAAAAATAAATAACCAACCAGTCTATTACCAACACTACTGACACTGATTTCTGAACGAGCTACAGTCAACATGATTTAAAATCAAAAATACACACACAAGTTTGGTTCCTAAACCAAAATGTCTGTTTAAAATTGACAGATCTCATGCTAAAGTCTGAGAGACCAAAGAGTTCCTAAAACATACGCAAGCAAACTTGTGAGATGGGAAGCATACTACAGAGAATTCAAAATGTTATACGAACGTTAACTTTGGAAACAAGAAAACAGTTCTCCATTGAGCGGCAATAATGGTGACAATGAAGATAACTGTGAAATAACTCGATAAACAAGAATAACGAAGATAATATCTTCACCAAGCTCAGGAGATTCAATAGTTGTTGCACAAAAAATACGCTATGTAACTGCTGAATAATCGTGGATCCAAAGAGATCAGAGGTTCTCACGGCGATGAATATTAAGATAAAGTTTTTTTTTTACCTGTGACGCTGTGTAGCATGATGGATATGTACCGAAGCATACGAGAAATCCGCTGCTTCCATCTTCAGGGTTATCTAACCTACAAGACTTCAGCGTCATCCCAGAAGACCGTTATCTTAATACAATAATCTATTTTCTCTAAAAACACGCACAAAACCTAAAATTATGGGCAGTTGCAACTTCTATTACGTCCAATGGAGTGGCTTCCTGAATGACGTCATCTGGTCAACACATCAGTAACGGTTCTAAGGACTTGAGTAAACAAAGGCTGAATACATTTACTGCGGATGGAAACAAAACCAAGTGGAATTTCCAACCGCAGGGGCAAAGTCCAATATAAGGAATGCGCCTACCAAATTGCAAATAGCTGCTACGTGAAAGAGCAGTATTGAGAGGGCATTCAGTGGACGTAAGAGATGGAACCCAGGCTCGAAATGAATCCCAACACGGCGCCACAATTCATTACTGGAGTATTCTGTAAGAGGGGACAGCAAATAAGAAGGGAATAAATATTCCTAAAGAGGGTTGTCTTCCCATAGAATAATTATAATTTTGCTCTATTACGGATCTAAAAACTGTCCTAGTAAAAGTAAAAAGTAAAGTTCCTGTTCTTAATTAAGCATCATGTCTTGGAGATGTATGTAACCGCAGGATAACAGATGCACGAATTCTTAATCTTGGCACTAGATGAAGGTGAACTATCAGCTTCACGCCCCCGTCGCTTTATCTCCGAGGAAAGAACTCCCCACCCATTGCACACCAGACTGGGTGAGCCCCAGAGCCTGTCTGGACGAAGTCAAAACTTTCTGCCTCGCGCCGGGAAATTGTTCCCCAATTCCTGGTATCCCAACCCATTACCTAACCTCTACAATGACTGACCTGTCACAGCTCCACAATAATTTTGTTCTTCTACAATACGTCCTTCCCATGCTGCACGTGAACTATTTCCAAAGACGTCCCTTCTGGCATGAATTTGTCTGAAAGAAACCCCGTGACGTCAACACATTTTTTTGTGGGAGGAGGGGGGGGGTGGAAAATGTACGTGGAAACTTGACGTTTAAGAGGTTTAATATTACTTTCACTGCTCGCACTACAGCATTCAAAAGAGAACAAAAAACTTTTCTGATACTTTTAATTTTTATTAATATTTGGTATAACACCTCCTTTTCTTCGATTCTAAAAGATAAAGTTGTCCCTGTGCTTAATTAGCTAAGCACTATGCCATGAAGAAATATGGGGAAGTGGAGATACAGCTCCTTTTTGTGACCACGGCATTAGATGGAGGTGAGTGGTCTGCTTTACAATCCTGCAGATCTACCCCGGAGGAAAGAGCTCCCATTAAATAGGAGGCTGGGTTGGCCCGAGTCGGTCTGGACGCTGTGGAGAAGAGAAAAATCTTGCAATGCCGGGAATTGAAGCCGGGCCGTCCAGCATGTGGTATGCCGCTAAACCGGCTCTGATTTTTTAAATCAGAACTGCAGAAATTATAGACAAAATGGAGTCCTGTTACCGAGTTTATGGCGCAACTACTACTGTCTGTCTAAAATATGTCTGTGAATTGAAAACCTTACGAACAAAAACAGGGTCACGTGTGTTGAGCGAGAGGTCCGGAATGGTGACTTTGGTTCCTATCATATATTAAGAACAGATTCTAGTCACTTCCAAATGGTGAGACACGTCACTATCTGGTGACGACACAACCTTACAAATATTTTACACGCAGTATACCCTACCTATCTACTGTGGGAGATACGAAATCTATCAAGACCAGTGGCGCTTTTCTGGCCAATTTACCGTTGTACTTCTCTGAAGAGCCAGCAGGTTACTATGAAATGCTGATAACCACCTTCAAGTTATAAACCAGAAAATCGGAAACTAAATCTTCAAATCTCATATCAATAGAAAACTGATAACAGAGACGTGACGCCGCACAGTTTGGTATAAATTTACCAACGTATCGGAGGAGTACACTGCCATTATATTCATCTTTCACCCTTCTATCCTGAACACCGAACACAGCAGGTTCCTCCGAAACGCTGGTAACAATCTGCACATCAGACAATCATCTATGAGAAAGTTACGATTCACACGTTATACCAATCATCAGCTGTACAGTTTGGATCCGCAGAGGGGCTGATAATCTATGGAAACCGATCGTACTCGTCGAAGCAATACATAAGAAACTTCAGGAAACACCAGTTTCATCAAGCACCGTGCCTTTATCTACGTGCGTGGTCGAAGTGGGGCAGTCGATTCCTGGCAGGGGTTCTGTAATATCTCTGTCCGTACTACGCACCAAACGGTACTTGTGTAGATATTACCTTTAATCAAACTGCTAAAGAATTACCCAGAAACAAAGAAAAGGCCAGACCACGAACACGACTATTGTTATTCAATTACTGAACGAAGCCTTTCAACGGCTTAGGTTATGTAGCGTCAAAGGCAGGATGATTTGTGAACGCTTAATTACAAATGATAATGGAAGTAGTTGTCACTGCCTATTTTTAAAGTACTATCTCCACATTTGACTCGACTGAGTAAGGAATACTGCGAAAAAAAAAACTTCAATTAGTATAGCTGACCTCCGGGCTAAGATAGGAACTCTGACCCTTCCAATACGAAGAGGCGCCATTCGGTTGGTCTCTGATGAACATGTGGAGCTCTACCTACCACGCCCTGATGACAAGGCGAATCAATCACAGTGGAACATTTATCTTTACGAGAGTGAAAATTGGTCACGACCGTTCACTACGCTAGTCCCCATTAGCTCTGAGCTACGAATACGTTAAAGTGTAGAAAGAAATATTATCAAATAAAAACCGAGAGATTAAATTTGTATGAAGAGGCAACAGCGCTAAAGATGACGAATAAGCTAGTCAAGGACAACGCTAGTCTAGACTCTCAATCAAAGGAAAATAAAAATCGCTCTAACTGCGACACTAGGGATGAAAATATTTCATATGAGGGGTATCAAGATTAATGTCGTTAACACAATCCATGTTGAGCCTTATGAACTTCGGGATTTCATGAAAAGACAAGGATTTTTCACTAGACAAGCCACTATCGGGCTTTACCGTGGAGTTACATGTGCATTTGAAATGAGAACTCGTGTTGCAGACGGTAAAAGAGAACATTTTATGAACATGTGAGGGCGCGACATCAGGTTCCTCTGAATTCTAGACAAGTTGAGGGTACGTTATGGCTACCTACAAGTAATATGAAATCAGAGGTTGGTTAGTACAGAATGGGGCTGGCCTTGACTTGTGAAGGGCAAAGATGTGGAAATATATACGAATAATCCTGATGCTGTTTTGTTATTCGTGATAATCCAAAGCTAAACCGGAAGCGGATTTATAACGGCGAACGAAACTATAGGTGTATGCTAGATGGATGGACGGACATGTCAGTAAATGAACATCCGGGACCACGTTATGGACGGGTGGTGATCTGGTGTTGCTATATATACAAGAGCCTGAACACAGTAGCTATGACTTCTATTATACGTGTTCAGCAAATGAACGGATATAGCCATCACAGTATTTCACACGCGTATATATAATGGCTACTACACACTATCTTTCTTTCTCGCACTTGCCTATCCGTCGCAACAATCACATCTTCGCTCTCACTCGCACTTGGATATCCACCATTTCGAAACGCCAGCCTGCCTGCCTGCCAGTCAGCCAGCTAGCTAGAAGCACTTACCTCAAACACGCGACCAACCAAACCCCTTTACATACAACTCCTACACTCTCCCAGTCCCATATCATCACATTACAAGCTCTTACCGTGTTCTCTGATAATCCCTTCTGCTAAATTTCGAGTTACAGGCTTGTATAAAATAAATGGTAAGTTTAATATTTCTCTTCTCTTCGCCTGTATATTTCCTCCTCCGTCTTCCTTGTTTCCCTCTCTCTCTCAACAAGGTCAGGTCTGCCTCACTTCTGTCGCTGCCGCACTGAGGCGCTGCAAGCAGCGATAATGGAACGGCACGGCCAATACCAACTACCAACGTTACCACCTCAAAAATGCCCCATGAATAGGGATAAGGAGGGGTAGTGTGTTTATGGCTCGCTCTATTAAGACATGTAATCCATAACGGGCCTAACAACTGACAAAAGAAATTATATGAATAGCACAACGTTATGCGGAATTGAAACCGTCCATTTCCGAAATAAATGCGTAATACAAATTTTCTGGTTACAGAGTAGCACAAAAAGGACGTTAACCTTTGGTTCATGCATTCCGAAAAAAAAAGACTAACAAAATCATTACGATCGAACATAAATATGGCTGTCAAATCAACGACTGATTGTAGGCTGAGAGAAGTCTTGATAAAACATGCGTCAAAAATAGATCTCGCCTTTGCCATTGAACTAAACCAATACACATACAGGTTCATCTACGGCTTGTATTTTTAAGCACATGGCTTTCTTTGTTGGATTTGAGGTTCTCACAACGGTGAATATGTAGATTACTCCCTCCTACGATACAACACCGTGCAGCCCGATATAAGTCCACCGATGTTCAGGAAGAAGACACTGCCTCCATCTTCAGGGTCAAGAATAATCGAGCAAGAAACTAGCAAGAAGGAAGTGGCTTTGTTTAGTTTACTCTTCGACACCTCGAAGACGAAGGTAACACGTTCCTCCGAAACGTCGGCAGGCTTCTACCGGACCAAACGGCGTTACAACGCAGAACATAACTTTCATGAATAAATCCGAAATACCTTATCTACTTACATACTCATGGAGCTGAGCCCTTCTTGAGGAGCGGTCAATTCTGCAGCTACTCAAGAATTTCTCGGCATTTTGTGGAACCCGAAGGTTCATCACCGTGTTCACAAGAGCCCTCCACTGATCCCCATCCTGAGCCAGACCAATCAAATCCATACCATTCCATCATATCTCTCTAAGATCCATTTTAATATTGTCCACCCACCTACGCCTTGGTCTTCCCAGTGGTCTCTTTCCTTCTAGCTTTCCCACCAATATTCTATATGCATTCCTCTTCTCCCCCATTCGTGCTACATGACCTGCCCACCTCATCCTCCTTGACTTGATCATTCTAATTATACTTGGAGAATAGTATAAGTTATGAAGCTCCTCATTATGTAGTTTTCTCTTACCTCCTGTCACTTCATCCCTCTTCGGTCCAAATATTCTCAACACCCTATTCTCAAACACCCTCGGTCTATGTTCCTCCCTTAATGTCAGAGACCAAGTTTCACAAACATACAGAACCACAGGCAAAATTATACTTCTGTATATTCTAATTTTTATGTTTTTGGACAGCAGATGAGAAGACAAAAGGTTCTGGACTGAATGGTAGCAAGCATTACCCGAGTTCAATTTCCTCCTGAATCAGGTTTTGATTTGTTATCGTTGTTCCAAATACCTGAACTTTGCCACATTTTAAAAACATTTGTTTCCTATCTTTAAGTCATGATTTTGCCCTGCATTTTGGTGATGAGACAGCAACATATACTTAGTTTTCTTTGTGTTTACTTCTAGACCAACCTCTTTACTTGCGTCAATTAAAGTCTGTGTGTTTTTCTTTATGCTGTCTACATTATCACCCAGTAGATTCCCATCATCGGCGTAGACCAACAGCTGATGTGTCCCGTTTAATTTAAGTCCCACCTGGTTTTCCTGGACCTGCCTAATGGCATATTCTAAAGCAACGTTGAAAAGGAGTGGCGATAAAGCATCTCCCTGTTTTAGACCATTCTGGATAGCAAATTTATCAGACAAATGGTTATCTATACCGACTTTACTATACGTTTCGTAAATCCTAATTACCGCTAAGGTATTCTAAAGTTGGCTCGGATGGGTGAACTGCTACAATGATCTCATAATCCCACTTTTGCTTCAAAGTAAGGAAAAGTATGCTAAAAAACATATCAATAGCCACAAGTAAACCTTCAGGTTGTGGTCCTTTGGATTACAGCGTCGTGTAGGCTAGCAGCTAGTTACCATTATAATCTCGTAGGTGGTTACCGATACTTAACCCATTTGTTTAGTTTGTTTACATTTGCAAAAGTAAAACGTTATAAATAACGAGCTTCAAAAAGTGGGAACAGTATAGGTCGATCCTCCAATGGCCTTTCATCCGTAGTATATGGCGTGACATTGATACTAAATCTGCTTACGTGTCATGGTACAGCACGTGGTAATTCATATTCACTGCCAGGAGAAATGACCGTTCTTTGCTAGGGATATGACTGCTTTCCTTGTTAATATCACAACACAGAGGCTTTACAGGCAAAATAACAAACATCATATTCCTTGTTAAACGGAATACTGAATATATTTCATGTATCCATACGCCATCTATGAACCGAATGTTGTACTAAAAGAGGATAATTGTGGCCGAATCGCATCAGCTGGGAAGTGTACATCTCATTATACTGTAATGGATTTGATCAACGCATTGCCAGGCAACAGCTCTGTAAACACGCTCCAACACGCAATAATAGATGAGACTGCGTTTTCTATGTCGTCCGCACCTCACCCAGTGCTGGTAACGGACCAACGAACTGGCAGTCTGACACGTGACACATGTTTTGTGTGAGGTCTGCGCCATGCAACAATAGAGGGACTGTGTTTTCTGGGCGTGGTCCGTGCCGAGAGGATATAAGAGAATACGGGAGTGGGAAATGACTTTTAGATATACCGGTGTGGAGGCAGGGTCGAATATCTCCACCGTGCCCTGCGAGTCGTACGAGGCGACAAAGAGGAATGTCTCAGATGACAGTAAAATACGGTCGCGAGTCCCAAGGGACTCAGACCCGAGAAAGACTGCGCTGGCAAGGACCTCTCTCGTCAGAAAGGACGCCCCACAAAAACAAGACCGTAACTGTCAAATATCTAATCTAATCTAATCTAACATCTAATGTTCTAGATTTGGCCCACTTTTACGTACATAGACCGCCTCTGTGGTCTAGTGGTCAGTTCCTGCCTACAGATTGAGAGGTCTCGGGTTCGATTCCGGGCGCTACCAGATTTTCTGATTAGTAGTGGGTCTGAAACGGGGTCCACTCATCCTAGTGAGGATGACTGAGGAGCTAATTCAAGGAAATATCGGCTCCAGTCTAGAAAACCGAGATTAACGGCCTTGAGGATCCGTTGCGCTGATCACGTGACACCCTCTATCCGCAAAAGTTGTACTAACTTCGCTGACAAACGGCGGTCGCTCAGTCGTTATAGTTTGCTTGCGGACTATAGGCCACGGAGCACAGGATATCCAACAGGCCAACAAATCTGAGGACGCCTTTAAAAATACGAAAACCGCTACTCAATTCCATTCATGTCCCTTCTTGTAATACAAACTGTAATACTGCTGCTAAAACATATTCTTCATCAACTTCCAGTAGACTTATAGGATACTTTTTTTAAACTGTCACATTTTAACAAAAATTGCATTACTTTTTCAACAGTAGCAGATTCCAAATTAGCACAACGCCGGGAAGGATACACTAGCCACCCTGCAGAACATTACGATGTGATGCATATGTGCAAGGCGTACCAGCCTCTGTTATTTGGACTGATTCTATTCCATCATGTTACAATGCTGTCACTATCTAGATTATAGTACACTGTCGAATGCTGGGATAGTATATGAATGATTAATTTGAAATGATTTTGTAGGAAACGGTCGTGGAGTAATCAAGGTCCTAACTCGGCATTTGTAATGAATAGGAATTAAAAAAAAAACTCACTCAGGATATCCGGCGCCCCGGCCAAGATTCGAACCAAGAACCTTCCGAATGCAAGTCTAGGACATTATCGTCACAGCAACCAGTCCGGTAAATACTCGTCAGGATCAAAAATAAGATTTGAAGTCTTCGGGGTGGTGAATATTAAGTGTAATGTTCTGGGTTATGACACCGTATTGCCTGGTAAATAGTCGTTTAACGTTTAACGTTTAGAATACTGAAGATATTCCTCCGAAACACTGGCACTCATCTATTACAGCGATAACCGGAAGACCACACAGTATAAATGATCAGAAGAAGATAAAATCGATAACTGCATTAATATCGATTATACTCGTAGGTTAACTTTCTCGAAGCAAATTATACAGTTCACGTGTACGAAACACTGACAAGAAATCGAATTACCATTATCTCACGTCTTCATTTCACTTCGCTCGTAGGCAGCCTACGGTTCGACCACCGAAATTGAAGTATGATTTTTTTTTTTGCCTACTTCCGCACTCCACATGCAAAGCAACGCTTATGTTACCATAACTGCATACAACCTACCATAAAGCTATCTAACAAATTTGTATTGATTTAATTAACTTTATGCCCATTTTGTGTTCAAAATTACCTAACGAATTCACCATTATCATAATCACCTTAAACATGACCTCATGAATTAAGCTCTTTTCTTGTTCCAATACAAATTCGTTCACTCGCTTGAACGTTAAAAAACTCTGCATTTGTTCAGACTGTATTTATGGGTTTCATATCCCCCCCCTTGGCACTACAGCCCCAGTGGGCCTAGGCCTACCTCCATGAACTTCTCCGTTCACTTAGGTTTTTCTAGATCCTACACATTCGGTAGGACTCCTTGGGCGGGTGATCAGCTCGTCGCAAGGCCTCTACCTGTACACAAACACAGAAAAACGCACACACACACAAACTTAACATCCATGCCCTGAGTGGGATTCGAAGCCACGATCCCGGTTTCCGAGCGAGCGAAAACAGTACATGCCTTAGACCGCTCGGCTACCGT